TCCAGGCAAGAAGCTGAACAAGACCCTAATGTCGTCGCAGGTTTCATCTCTATTTCCAATATTCCTGCATTTTTACTTATAGATTCTGGAGCTACACATTCGTTCATTTCTTCTTCTTTTGTTGCAAAGTCTAAAGTGGAATGTGAATTTCTTCTGTATACTTTAGAAATATCTCTTCCATCTGGAAAGATACTTGTCGCTAATCAAATTGCTAGAGATCTTAGGATGGAAATTGATGGTAGAGGTATAGTGGTAGATCTAATTCCATTAATGATAAAAGACTTTGATGTTATTCTTGGTATGGACTGGTTGTCTAAAAACTATGCAACTATTTATTGTACTGAGAGAATGGTGGTTTTTCGAAGACCGGGCGAGGAAGAGTTCCGTTTCATGGGAACTGAGGTAAATACCTCGTCTGGTGTAGTGTCAACAACCCAGGTTGAAAGGATGCCGAGAAAGGAATTAGATCAAAGATTTCTAGTGGCGATGACCGATATTAAACAAGATAAGTTGTCAATTGAGGATGTCCCAATAGTTCAACACTATAAAGACGTTTTTCCAGAAGACCTTCTAGGTGTACCACCAGATAGACAAGTAGAGTTTACCATTGATTTGGTACCAGGAGCAATACCCATTTCAAAGGCTCCATATCGTATGGCACCGTCAGAACTACAAGAGCTGAAGGTACAATTGAAGGAGCTTCTTGATAAGGGTTTCATTAGACCAAGTGTATCACCATAGGGTGCACCTGTGTTATTTGTGAAAAAGAAGGATGGAACAATGAGGATGTGCATTGACTATCGAGAATTGAATCGCCTTACTATAAAAAACAAATACCCACTTCCAAGAATAGAAGATTTGTTTGATCAGCTTAAAGGGGCTACAGTATTTTCAAAGATCGATCTAAGATCAGGATATCACCAATTGAAAATTAAGTCAGATGATATCCCTAAGACGGCTTTTAGGACGCGTTATGGTCATTATGAATTTTTGGTGATGCCTTTTGGGTTAACTAATGCCCCGGCAGTATTTATGGATCTAATGAATAGAATATTCCATGAATACCTAGACCAATTTGTTATAGTTTTCATTGATGATATTTTAATCTATTTGAGGAATAAGGAGGAACACGAGAAACATCTTATGATTGTCTTAGAAACTTTAAGAAAAGAGAAGCTTTATGCCAAATTCAAAAAATGTGAATTTTGGTTGGATAAAATAGTTTTTCTAGGGCACGTAATCACAGCACGAGGAATTGAGGTAGATCCAACTAAAGTGGAAGCAGTAAATAATTGGGTAAGACCAACCAATGTTAGAGAAATACGTAGTTTTTTGGGATTGGCTGGTTACTATAGAAGATTTATTGAGGGATTTTCTAAAATAGCAGGACCATTGACCCAATTGACTCGAAAAGGGATAAAATTTCAATGGACAGAGAAATGTGAACAAAGCTTCCAAGAACTGAAACGAAGATTAGTCACAGCTCCAGTGTTAACAATACCTGATGGACCAGAAGGATTTGTCATATATAGTGATGCTTTGAGACAGGGCATAGGATGTGTTCTGATGCAGAAAGGAAAGGTGATAGCCTATGCTTCCAGACAATTGAAACAATATGAACAAAACTACCCAACCCATGATCTAGAATTGGCTGCGGTAGTTCATGCCCTCAAAATATGGCGTCATTACTTGTATGGAAACAAGTGTGACATTTATACTGATCATAAGAGTTTGAAGTATTTTTTCACCCAAAAGGAATTAAATATGAGGCAGAGGAGATGGCTAGAGCTAGTAAAGGATTATGACTGTACTATCCATTACCATCCTGGTAAAGCTAATGTAGTAGCTGATGCTCTTAGCAGAAAGGCAGTTGGACAATTAGCAGTACAAATCACTATGCAGGATCAGTTGTTAAAGGATTTTGACAACTTACGTCTAGAAGTAATTGTTCCACCAACCCAAACTAGTGCCAGGATAGCGGCTCTAACGATTCGACCAACACTTAGAGATCCAAGATTTACCTCAAAATTTTGGAAAAGTTTGCAAGAGGCTATGGGGACCAAGTTAAACTTCAGCACAGCCTTTCATCCACAAACTGATGGGCAATCGGAGAGGACTATACAGACTTTAGAGGATATGCCGCGTGCATGCATCCTTGATTTAGGGGGCAGTTGGGAAAACTATGTGCCACTGGTAGAGTTTGCCTATAATAATAGCTACCAAGCTACGATAAAGATGGCACCTTACGAAGCCCTTTATGGCAGAAGATGTAGAGCTCCCCTTTATTGGGATGAAGTAGGTGAACGAAGAG